AAAAAAAAAAAAAAAAAAAAAAAAAAAAAAAGCCAAAATCCTGTGCCTTAGCTTGCAAACGATACTCCCGTCTGCTGTCATAAATTGCTTAATAACCGTAGTAGGCTGGGTCTGGTGAGTATTTTCGATTACCAGGAGATATATGGGCTGGTAGCGGGTTTGTTTTCACGGGGCCAAGCAGAGCTGCGGGGTGATAACCTGGGGCACTGCTCTCGTCTCCGAAGCTTGGCTCTCTCCGTCGTTTCCATGTGCCTCCGCTCGGTCGAGTCCCGAATTCGGACGCTTTGGGCACAACCGGGAGAGCGGGTGACAACGCCAGGGGCGTCCCCGGCCCGATGAGTCCTGCGCGCAAATCCGGGCCGGGGGCCGGGCAGGAGCTGCGGGCGACGTCCGTGAGTCCTCCAGCTGCCGGGGAGCATCGCAGCGCCGGGCGGGGCCATCGCTCTGGATTTTCGGAGTTGCCAAAAGGGGGGTCGGCAAAGCGTCTTCTTCGTGTTGTAAAAATAAAGAAGAAACAGAAGAAGAAAGAAGAGGGAAAAAAAAAAAAAGAAAGAAAGGGGAAAAAAAAGAAAAAAAAACCAACAGCAACAACCAAAAAAAAAAAAAAAAAAAACAAAAAAAAGCCCCAAGCACTCAGCGGACCAGTCTACGTCCAGACTGCACGAAGTGCATTTTAAAAATCGGTTTTAAGTTAATGCACCCTCAAGATGTAGCATATCTGCGAAGGCATTGGAGAGAGGGGGAGGGGAGGGGCTGGGAGGCTTTAAATGGGCTTTTTGGTGGTTGCTTGTTTAAATAAAATATAGAACGAGACTTGTCATTTAATCCCTCGAAAGGGATGCCTTACAAATATCGATGCTGTTGGAAAATGCAAAGGGTTTAATTTTCTTGCTTTTAGTCCAAACAAAGCTCTGGTGGTGTCTGCGCGCGATCAATCTTGGCCGCCAAAAGGTTTGACAGCTTCTGGCCCTTAAGAACACATTTAGAGCTTCTTGCTCTTTCCAAGATCAAATGTATCCGAGCAAAGAGGCAGAGCGAGAAACGCGGGTAAACAAGGAAAAAAGCTGCTTTTAAAATATGCTGTTGGAGGGCTGCTCTGCTGTGGGAAAAGCCCGGCTTTATTTTGCTTCTCTGCGCCTTCCTCGGGGTTGCGCTTTGCTTTTTTTCTTCTTTCTTTTTTTTTTTTTCTTTTTCTTTTTTTTTTTTTTTTCCTCGAAAATATCGGGATTTAACAGCAGGATGGCAAATAATAAAGAGGGAGGTTTGGACTTTAACCGGGCTTTGTGAGTAAAACCTGCGTGGGCGTCTCTATTCTGCACATTTGTTCCTTGTGGTAGTTCTAATACAAAAACCACCTGGAACAAAACCTTTGGAGAGGGGACGCGAAATTCTTGGGCAAATCAATTACTTCTGCCTCCAGAGGGATCTTTTAATCGGGCGAATCTCGAATGCAAAAATACAAATTCGTATTGCCAACGTGCAGGCTCTGAGGATGGGGAGAGGAAAGAAGGGGGCAAAGCCGCCTGTCTTTTTCTTTCTTCGGAGTGGGAGGGGGGAGAAAAGCCGAATTCCTTCTCTATGGACATTTTCAGAAATGCAATCCTGGCGCTAAGCCTCACAACCCGAGTTCACTGCCCGTACCGTTACCTTTTGTTTGATCTATGGCACTTATCTGAGGGGTGGGGGGCGTTTGGATTCTCTATATTCGCTAACTGGAAACGAGAGATGCCTTGCGACGGTGCCAAAATGCCTTTCTTGCCTACAAAACAATAACGGGTCGTTGGTCTGCACTGGGCGACAATCGGGTTTCGATGAAAAATCTCGGAAGAAATCACCTTCCACGGTTCTACATCTCCGCCCGTAACGCGCAGCACGGTGCGGATATATCCGCCATCCCTTTCTGTGCCCGAGCACTCTTTATCTACTTATGCAGAAAAGCTCTATAGATTCGCGGCTGCGTGGCAGTGTTTCGGCATCGGGCAGGGGTGGCTCTGGGAACAAGATAAAGCCCAAAGATTAATAATATTTCAGCGTGCGACCAAAATGGCGACATTTTTCCTTTGCTCTGGAAGATACAGATGGCAAACAGCATGCGCGATTATCTACACGGCATAGGGATACGACTCTATAAACGCGCAAAGGGAATATTTTACCCAGTCTATTAAGGTCCGCTTTGATTTATCTTCCAAGTTTCAATCTACAAATTACGGACATTTGGCCTGGAAGGAAGAAACATGGCATTTAAACACGGCGGTTGGGGTTCCTGCCTTCACTCGGTCCCACTTTGCCCAGAGACACCCGCGGGTGCCCGCTCACCCCCACGTGTCACAGCCCCGCCATACGAGCACACGCACGCACACGGACACGAGGGGGAGAGGAGGGGGAGGGGGGCATGGGGGGTAAAGGCAGCACGGGAACTCCCCTCCCCCACCGCTTCAGGCTGCAGAGAGGGGGGGGGGGAGGAGGCTCGGCCAACAGGAAACGGCCCCAGATTTAAATCCAGAATTATAACAGTAATAATAAAAATAAAAGGAAGACGAGAGAGAACCCACTCCTCTAAAGAAAACGGGAAAAAAGGCAGTGGGGGTGGAGAGGTGCCCAGAGGCAGCTGTGCCCGGCATCCACCCCACAACTGCGGCTGGGGTCTGCGGCCTCCGCCCGCCTCTCCTCGGTCCCCATTCGGGGAGCCGTGCATCCCCTCCGCACCGCACCTCGCTGGGCCTCAGCCCCCGCGCTCGCCCCCGCGCACAAGCTCGTGCACGCACACGGCGCACTCCCTCCCCCCCCCCACCGCGTGCACACCCGCGGTCCGCGCCCCCGCCCTCCGCACCGGGCGTGGGAGAGGCGGCAGGGAAACCAATGGGAAAAACAATCCTAATAAATCCCTCTCTCTATCTCTAAAAAGGCGCTACGGAGCCGTGCGGTGGGAGAGCTGAGCCCCGTGTGGGCTCCAGACGAGTCCACCGACTCCCCTGTCACGAAGGGCTCTCCCTTCCTCGCACTGCAAATAACGTGGCCTTAACTCTTTATTATTCAGAATAAAAACTTTATTTTTTTTTTTTTTTTTTCAGAACGTGAGCAGCAAGGAATGTATAACTTTCAACACAAATCTAAGCCTTTCAGCTTCACACGCCTTCTTTCCCTCTACCTGGATGTTACAGGCATCAATTATTCAAGCTGTGATCTTTCTTTCTTTTTTTTTTCTTCCCAGGTTTTATTGCATTGTTGTCATCACAGTTATCATTTTAATAAAGGAGTTATAGTTCCCTTTCAAATGATATTTCCTACGCGTGCCGATATGCCATCTAACACATGGCCAGGTAAATACCTCCTGAATATTCAGGGTACAGATTCTTTATATATATATAAATATGAACAAATGGGGATAAATAAAATTTTAAACACTTAGATTATTCAATGTTTGCAAAAAAAAAAAAAAATAATATAAATAAATCTGAATGTTCACCAGCATACACACATTGAAAGACTTACACGTATCAATAACTGTCCAGGGAATCCCTGTCCAAGCGCTTCTGATGTCTTTCTCGCTATTTAAAAGAAGTGCAATAAAAAAATTGCTTCCCCGTGGGATCAATCATGTACGAACAAATTCACATTTAAGAATTCCTTTTATAGAAAATTTGTTCATATACCCTGTTTTGATAAAAGTGTAGAAGGTAAAGTATAAAGCCTCTGTATGCTCCCAAAGTGAGACACGAGGCTGCAGTTCAAGAAGATAAATATCCACTAGTGAAACTATAGAGCAATTCAAGCAACAAATATTGCTACGTCACATAAACTAGAAAACGCTTTTACCAAAGGAAATGAAACAAACTAAAATGAGCCAAAGAAAGAAGAAAGAGAGGGGAGGAGGGCGCGTGGTGGGGAGGAGAGGCAGAGAGGAAGGGACGAGTACTTTAAAAGGTTGGGGCTTTGCGTTCCACCTAGTGACTCCTGGCTCCTACAGATGGGTGAGTTTGGGCGCTTCCTGAATTCTTCCCTGAGAAGGATGGTGAGCTGTAAGGTCTGTATATGTCGGGTGCGGGTCGCAAGGTCCATGGTGGTGATTGTTGCCCATCGGCCCAGCCCCGCTGTAGTCCATGTTGGCAGAGGGAGGATGAGAGAGATGAGTTAGACCAAAGATGGAAGGCCCAGAATTGGTCATGGTCTCCACGTAGTTGCCCCCTACGTAGACGGGGCTTCCCTGTATATGTGGATTCCCATAACCATTGCCTTGAAGAGGATGAGTATCGTATTCAGGTGTCACAGCTGCTGTCCCCGTGTATCTCTTTTGAGGAGGTGGGCAATTATTAAGAGGAGCGGTATACGATGCAGGGATGCCATAGGTGTTCTGATGAGGCTTATTAAATGGCGGAGGTGACTGGGGCTCGTAGGGGACACTGTTTACTAAAGAATGCATAGAGTTTAGGTATCCCCCAGCAGCTGGAGGGACGGGGCTTCTGCTCGGGGACTGCCCTCCTGAAGAGGTCATCATGCCCTTGCCCTTTTGATCCTTTTTGTATTTCATTCTGCGGTTCTGAAACCAGATTTTGATCTGTCTTTCTGTGAGATTGAGCAAATTGGCCATCTCAACCCTCCGTGGCCTGCAAAGGTATCTATTGAAGTGGAACTCCTTTTCCAGTTCTACTAGCTGGGCACTTGTGTAAGCCGTACGAGCTCGTTTAGAGGATGCTTGGCCTGGGGGGCTCTTATCACCAGCACAGCTCTCACCTATGTAAATCACACAAAGAACACAATCAGATGGTAAACCTAGACATGGCAACCAGAGACTGCGCCCAACAATGTCAGCAACTGCCCAGCTATTGGACATGAGATGCCCACATGTGCAACAAGTAACCCCAACAGGAGCTCAGCCTCGCCATGCTCCAAGCCCCAAAGCTTCCTTCATTTCACTGGTAGCATTGTTTGGCTATACTTGCTCCAATAAAGAATGACAGGGCGCAACATATCTTGAGCTTTGCATAAAGGAATAGGAAAGGTTCCAGGAAATAAAGCAGGTTTTAGAAATTCGAAAGGTGAACCTATTGTTCCACATACATATCAGGCTTAGATCCTTTGAGAACTACCTGCTCTCCACAACCACAGAGATTTACAGCCCCTTCTTCTGATAACCCTGCTGTATATACATAAGCTGTGGATGTTTGAAGGTCAGATATCCACATATAATGTTGTAACACACAGAATTGGCAGTATAGTGTTTCTCCCACATCCAACATTAACATATGGTAGTGATTGGGAAATATAATGCGCATCAGAAGAGCATATGGCGGCTGTGCTTGCGTACAGGCATACAGGCATATTTAACTGTTATTGCTTTTTAATAAAATAAATACACACTGTGGAAGTCTGTAAATAGCAATATTATCAGTGCTTTAAAAGTACACTGGCAGAGACCTTTGCTAAAGATTTGAACCCTATTTCCAAAGCACATTTATGAGAAAAAGAGGAAGAGATAAATATAAACACAACTCCTGGGCACTGGAGCTGGTCCTGATGTTACTGATTTGAGTTTCCTCAAGTAATAAAAGTGTTAATGTACACTGCCATCCTCCAAATAATATTTTACAGGCTTAAGTTTATGGCGCTCCAGAAGACTTTTGTTTACCAGTCTTGTAACTTTGCCAGTCAGCCTGTAAAAGTAGGAAGAGGTTCTGACTGCACACAGGGCATTGATCCCAACTGCACATGATTATGAGCTATTTTATTCGCGTTACACTTCGGCAGAGATAGGTCACTGTCTTATTAATCTAGCAGCACAGTGCCAATAAAGTACTTGGGACAGGCCCCTGGCTCAAGGCCTGGGCTGCTCGGCACTGGTGTGATTTACTGGACGGGGGATTACCTACGAAATGTGATAGATGCAGGAGGACACAGCCGAAAGGAAACCAAATCACACTGGATCCATTCTGCAAGGCTGGGAAAGATCCCAGGGGTTTGTTTGGTCACCGAGATCCCATCACAAGCCAACAAGCCCATGGGGGGCAGCTCAGGGAAGAAAACAAGACCCCAGCCCTCCCTTCCCTCCCAAAAGTGAAGGCGCCCAGGGTTGCTCCCTCCCCGCAGGACACATGAGAGCATTTTCCATACCTGAACTGGAACTGCTGTTTTTCTGCTTTGTGTTTTGCCGAGACTCTTTCATCCATGGGAATATCTGTTTGGACACAGTGGGTGAGTTAAGAGCCGGGCTCTTAGTGGGATTGGCAGGGGCAGGGTTGCTGCTGGCATTTTGAGACGGTGAGGCCGAGGATGGAGGTGGAGGCTGTGCCTGCGGGGCCGGAGGTGGCTGCGGTGGGGCCTGCGGGTCAGTGAGACCAGGGGGCTGCAGAGGCTGGCTGGGGAGGGTCCTCATGCAACTCTCACTGATGTCATTGGCCTTGTGGTGGGACACGGTGCTGCCTGGGGACTGGAGGGAGCACGCAGGGCGGTGGTACTCAGTTTCCACAAGTGACGAAGACGGAGGATATTGCTGCTGACTCGCATTATAAGTGAAACCATTTGCTCCTTGGTAGGGGTAGGCACCATAGATTGCAGAGCTGTCGTAGTAGGTCGCTTTTTGCATTTCGTTGTTTCCCAATATTTATTTCGCAAACTGACAGGGTCTTGACACCCTTGGAGAATAACATTGGCACCCCTCTGTCACGTGGCGCTGCTCCTCCAATGGCCGCTCCGGGCAGACCTGGGGTGTGGGGAGAGCAGAGCAGGGTGAAGAAATGGTGCAAATCCATCTTACTTTCAATAGCTAAGTGACATGAAAGCCATAAAAGAAAAAGTGGTCAGCAATATTTAGCAGCATGACTTGGCCTCAGGCGCAGAGTATTTCGATGTAAAAGCTGCCTGGATTTACTGGCAGCTACAAATATGTGCTTTGCTGCACTGGGATAGGGTCTTTCTAGGGTTTTTCCTTCCTTTCTTCTTAAGAAACAGGGCAGGGCACCACACAGCAAAGGGGTCAGCCGTTTATCGCCGCGAGGCTGTTTTAATACCAGTCTCTGTGATAAGGCTGATCGAGGAATCACTAATGCAAAGGGGCTGGGCTATCGCTCTGTTCCAGCTCCACAAGTAAACCCTCCCCTGTAACTGGCATCTTTTTATTTTTAGCCTTTCTCTCTGGGTTACGGCTCTCCATCCAGCTTCAAAGAAATACATGAGATTGTTCCTGTCTACGTATGGCAGGGGGCAGGAGCAGGATGGAAAGGTTTTGCAGCCAGCGATATTTACACACACAGATCCCAAGTGACGGATTTTGGCTCGTCTATGAAACGCTCGATAGGAAAATAAACAAAGCCGGTGCCTTCTCCCCTCGTGCTCACGCACTGCCTCCAGCCTCCTGGGTCAAGCACCCTGGCACCAGTGGTTCCTGCATGGGTGAGCCCCGGAGTGGCTCCTGTTTGGCCCTGGAGTGATAGCAGGTCCACTCTACCCCCACAGCCCCTCAATACCACATTGCCACAACCCCACGATGATTCCACACCCTTCCTTCCCCCGCGAGTGGCTCTGGAGCCCCCATTGGACCCAGCCCAGCTTGGAGCCCCTTCAGCAAGGCCAGCAGGGGCAAGCTGGGGGCTTCTGCTGTTGTTTTTTAGCAGTTATTTCAAAGACATTAACTTTTTGTGGAATCAGCCAGACTCTACCTGTTAAAACATGATGGATTGGAGGGGAAAAAGAAAAAGAAAAAAAAAGAAAGAAAGAAAAAAAAAGAAAGAAAGAAAAAAAGAAGAAAAAAAAAAAAAGAAAGAAAAAAAAACAACCAACAAAACACCAGGAACCTGAAAAACCAGCGTTCATCTCCATGACCACGGCTTGAACTTTCCTTCCAACTTAGCGATAATAGGTTCTGTCTTAGAAGCTGCTATGTAATTTGATGTATGAGGGTCACTTGGCCAGGGAGAGGGTGGACACCGACCCAGAGAATGCTGCTCCTGCCTGGGCGAATCCCTTTCTCTCCCCTCTCTTTTTGCTCTCTCCGTCCTTCTGTTCTCTGTTTTTTGTTGTTGTTGTTGTTGTTTTCAAATCAAATTCTGCAGCTTACCTACCTGAAAATAACCAGCCCAAGGATGGCCCGCACTAATGAGAGACCTGTACGCCGTCTCCCATCCAGCAGCTCATCCCACACGCGCATACATTGTTCTCAGAAATCGCAGCTTGCTGCTCGCCGTCCCCTCTCCCTTCCTGACCAACAGCTCCGTTCTTTCGGGTCAGAACAGCTCTGATCTCTTTGCCACTTCCCCCGCGCTTAAGCAGCTGGCTATTTTCCCCCAAAACATCTAACGACGACAAATGCTTAGGGGCGAAATGTCTTAGGCAGCACAAGCACCAAACGATCTCATTCTGCGCCTTTCAAGTTATACAAGTTCTTAGAAAACAGCCTTTCCTTTGTTACATCCCAACCAAATGAAGGTAACGCACCTACAGCAAGGCGGCAGCCCCATTATTGCACTAATCAACCTCTCCGGCTGTTATTAAGCTAATAAGACAATCAAGATCTGAGGCGCGGACACCATCTCCAGCTCCTCGCCTCTAACGATATCTGGGCCTGGTGTGATTTTTCTCAATTCCTTTCCTTCAGAAAGAGGGAACCGCAGTAACAGGAAGGAAACAACCGGCCTTTCATGACGTCCACACCAAGCATTTCACCTTCCCCGGGCGCTCCCAGATTTGTCGGGTGCCGCCGGCGGGCAGAGCGGCGGCCCTGCCATGTTCCGCGCAAAGCTGCGCGCCCGCCTCGCCAACAATGGGCGGCTGCGCCTCGAAGGCAAAATATTAATGAAAATTCGGCCGCCCGCCAGGAAGGGAAAATCGGCCCCCGCCTTTGGCTGCGGGAGTTAATCACTTCCTAAAAGTTAGGGTAACCTGAGCGGCGCACGGCCATTACTCGCGAAAACAGCACTAGCGGGATTTATAGCGACAGGGAGCGAATAATAGCAGCGCCTTAACGGGAGCTAGCGGGGGAGGGAGGGTGGAAGGCGGAAGGTTTGCCACCCAAACTAGTGCCTGAGATGGGAAAAGCGCTCCTCGTCCTCGCCGAAGACAAAAGGCCAAAAGAGCTCGGCCCTCAAATTTGCCAGCGCCCTTTTCGGCCGGTCCATCCAGCATCATTTGCGCAGTACACCTCTCAGCCTTTACCGGCCTCTCCCCCCGCCAGACAGCCCGGAGACAGCAGATGAAAGCTGCCTCCCCCAGGCATGTCCCCCTCGCCTCCCCGCTCCACGGCTCAGCTCTCCCCTGCCTCCCCCTTCCCCGTCTCTAAATACACCGCATCTTTCTCCTGTAGCTCCCGGCCGAGCCCCAAACTCCGACTCCGGGACGCAAAAAACAGCAGCCCCCCAGAAAGATTTCCTGAAAGATAAAGACAAAGTTGAGAAGAGGTGAGGGGGTGGGGGGAGAGTAGAGAGAGCTGCCTGAACACGAAGTGTAAGGGTATCAGTCACTGCCTGGAAGGAAGCCCCAGCTTGTGAACTCTTCTTGAACCGACATTTAAGTCTACGGTCATAAATCACTGGGACATAAACTCCGCCATTCACGACTGATAGCAGCGTATTTGTGGCCTGCTTACCTTAACTTCTGACGACTGAGGCGGAAGCCAGCATGCTTTTTTTTTTCTTTTTTTTTTCTTTTTTTTTTTTTTTTTTTCTTTTTTTTTTTTCTTTTTTTCTTTTTTTTTTTTTTTTTTTTTTAGGAGCCTCGGCGACGCAGCCCGGGGAGCAGAGATTGATCTGCCCCGGCCGTGTCCCTGCGGCTGCGGGATGGGCACCGGCTCTGCTCCTCTGCGTCGGCCGGGAGGGGCGAGCCCTGCCCCGTGCGGGATGGGGACGGCTGCTCCGACCCCCGCCTCCCCGGCTCCCTCCCGCTTCTCGCTGCCCACCCTGTCCCTGTCCCCCTGCCCAGAGCGCGGAGGATGGGGACGCTTCCCAGGGCCGATCCCCGCGCCTGGAGGGAATGGGAAAGAGGGGAAAGAAAGAAGAAAGGGGGGGAGAGGGAATGGGATGGGAAGGAAAAAATAGAATTATAAGGCTGAAAGAAAGGCGGCGGCCTGGGGAAGCCTGGGAGAAGGAGGGAAGGAGTGTGGCAGCGAAGGAGTGCGGCCCCCCCCACCCAGCACCCGGGCGTCACCAAAGTCCAGGAAAATTATGCTAATGAAGACAAACGGCTCTCACAAAGGGTCGCTCTCACCGGCCTCCGGGGTTCTGCGGCGGGGCTGTTTGTTTTGTCCCTCTCACGAGCGGGTTTGGGGGCGGCCGTGCAATGGCCCCTCCGCCGCTCCCCGCCGCCCGGAGTCCCGCACAGCCTGGCTGACCGCCGGGGATGGGGGGAGCGGCCCGGAGCGCCGGGTCCGGGACCGGAGAGCCAACCAAAGCCCACCAGGATCCCCGCTCTGGGCAATGCTCGCAGAGCCACGCTGGAAATCATTAGAGTTACTAATTATTAACTCATGCATGCGTGAGCGCACACACACACAGATGTACACACAGAACCCCCCCGCCCCCCAAATATCCCCAGCGCTCGGGACGGGCGCAGAGGCGCTTCCCCCACCACCTCCTCCCCCGTGTGCCGCACAGACGGGCCGGGTGCCCTAAGCACCGTGGGGGCGCGTGGGGCTGCAGTCCCGCGTGAACGTGGCCCCCGCGCCGCGCAGCCCCTCCCCACCTCCTGCTCCTCCGGGAAAGCTCTCGCTTCTTTTTTTCCCGGCTTTGGGTGGGGGCTGGGGGGTCCCCCCCTTTTTTTGTGTAAGAGCAACACAGCGGAGCCCGTGCAAAGCGGGCGCTCACACGAGGACTGCAAGTAAGTTGCAGCCCCGGCCCCTCGGGCTGTGGGCTGCGAGACCGAGAGGGGCTCCGCGTAGAGCCGAGGTGTAAATTTGACGTTACTTCGTTAATTAAGGCATTAAAAATATAACCAGTCCGTTCAAAGCACGAGGGAGCCCGGCGTCATCCTAAAGCACAAACAAAGCGAGGGGGAAGCTAGAAATAAAAAGCACTATAAGGCTGGGGTGGCCTCTTAGGCATACCAATGGTTTTTGTCATTTATGGCTATGCAAGATTTATGACTTCATGCACCAAAGCTGTAAACAGAGCACTAAAACAGAAAACACTTGCTCCTTATGGCACAAGTGAGAAGGCACCACATGAAAGGGGAAGCGGGCAGCGTAGGAGGAGAGGAGAAAGCAAAAATCCCGCGTATGCATTTTGCTTCAAACAACCCCGTGAATGTGGCATCGGAAGAAAAGTCTTTTTAGTCAATAATCAACCCCACACTTTCTTCTGAAACTGCTGAGCCGTCGCTCGCCCCGGTGCCCGACCGAATACAGAGAGGCACCTCTGAGCCCCGACGGAGCCCTCCGGAATAAAGAGCAGAATGTGGCTGAGGGAGCACCGAGGACGAGGAAACCTGCGGACGCCGGGACCGGGCCGGGCCGGGAGCGCTGAGGAGAGCGTGTGCCTCCCTTCCCTCTGAGGGCTTTATAACTTCGGAGCCGGATATTCTGACACCATGTCTGTATCTGAGTGTGGGGACGGGAACGGGGGGGTGCTTTGTAAAACCGGAGGAATTAGCGAGGGACTTTAATGGTGAGAACCGAAGTAGTTCGTGGGGATAGAGAGGTATTTCCTCCATTCGTCTTTTCTGCCTGTGAAGAGCGTTTTGCCTCTTGGCCCGTTTCCCCACGCCCCCTTTCTCCCC